CCTTATGGCTGTAGGACCGTTAGTCGAAAGACAATTCGTCACAGGGTCATTAGCAGTAGGACAATCGGTCACATGGCGTAATTCGTCCCTGTAATAATTCGTCACACGAATGGACGAAATGTGCTAGGTTTATTTTATTTTTGTACTTCATCGAGTTTCTGCTCTAAAATCAACAATCATGAGCCAGGCTCTTTCTTCACAGGCAACCCTTTGTATCGTATGTAAAAAAGCTGGCAGCAATGTGACAAATTATATTTGAGCACGTAAACATCATACTCACCAATTATGTGAGCTGTGTACCGTGACGAAAGTGGGTAAGAGTTCTTTTTTTTGTTAGGACCACCAAGGAATGGTATGCTCGGTCTACTGTGACAGTAGGTACCGCAAATCCGGAAACATTTTGTTTGTTCACTTTCTGCGATAATGTTTGCTACAGGCTGTGCAGGCTTAAAGTAGGAATAAAAAAAAAACTGAACACCGAATCTAAGCAAACATATCCACCCCAGAAATTAATTTATTAAAAAAAAGTCAACACCGGCTGAAGACAAAAATAAAAAAAATGAGGGAAAACAAAGACTAATAAAAAAAAACACGGTCCGCACAAATGAATCCCTACCTACCTTAAAAGTTTATTCAGCAGAAATCGTTCTTTTTTTTGTGTGTGTGTGTGGAAAGGGGGGGGGGAAGCTGTAAAGCAACGTTTGGATTGAGACTTCGTTGTTCTGTCATTTTTTTTAAATTATTCCTCTCTCTCAAATTTACTATGGATGTCATTCACAAGGTTGCCTGCGTTTATTGTTTTCTTCAACAAAGAGTTTTCATCGTTTTTCAGCCCATCATAGCACCGCGAACTTCCTAAACAGGGTTCAACACGGAATAAAGAAAACAAACGCGACTGATCGCACCAAAACCACGAACGTATACGAGCATATTGAAGATCTCTTCCAAGCTTTATATTCTGCACATCTGTATTCCATGCCTTCCGGTTCTGGACCAGTTGACTCAATAACAAATTGTCCTAATGAACCAATTCCCTGCTACGAGTTCCCTCTTACCAATTGTGTTTCGACGAACGGCCTTCAGCCCACGCCTTCCACACACGTCGATCGGCAAAACTTAACTAGCACAAAAACATTCCATTTAAGAAATCACTCTGATGACGATGAACACCACTTTTAAACGGGCAGAGTTTGCGACTTGTTTCAAACAGAGATGCAACAGTTCTTGTGTTCTGTCACAGAAACGCGGAGACGACAATCCAAGCTCGTACTCACTTTCCTCCGGCGGCCACGTTAATTGGATCGCCTTCTTCTTGCAGAGTGTCTTGCAAGTTGAAGTCCTTGGGATCCCCGCAAAAACACACCTGTGGACATGCCGGCCTCATCCCTACGCCGTCGGAAACACCGTTCTTCTGGTCGCGGTCACATTCTGGAGACCTGTCATCATTACCAATGTCCGTACTTGTGAAAGGAGGACCTGCACTGGATCGCCAGCTGTGTCCCTGTTCTGTCATGGTTGCTTTCAGGTACTCGAAGATCCTTCCGAAATTGCGCCTGCTTCATGGAACTACTTAAGTTACTGTGCCTATGCGGTCAGTGGCGGTCGGATAACGTAGGGGTTAAGAAACAAAGGACCGGTGGCCCGTGCGGTACCATTTGAGTGTGAGCAATCTTCAGCTGCATTCTGCTTACACAGTCAAACCAGCCACGGTGTCTGTAATATTTCTTTATGGTTCAAACCCTACATAAATTTTCTACGAATACGATTCGCCAGTTGAAAGTCTCTCACCGTGTCAAAACCTGTACATTGAGAACAAAAAAAAAAAAAATAGTCAAAACAGCAGTGTTGTGTCGCACACGCCTTCTCCGGGAAAACTCTGACCTTGACAAGTGAACCCTCACCTCGCAACGACCGATGAGTTCATCGTTCGACTCCAAAAAAAAAGATGGAGGTCAAAATTAAGTAGGCAAGGGAAGACCTTGAGCTTGGCTACCACGAAGCAGTGTTCTGTTACTGAAAGAAACTCTGTTAGAGTTACCTAAAATTAGGGCCAATAGATTTTCGCCTTGCATATCGGTCAATACTGAAAAATATAGAAATTAGGTGGGAACACTGAGCACTCTATAAACAACGCAAAAAGGTTACACCCATAAGACAAAAATATTTTTTTTCTCTGCAATACAAACTGAACCGTTCCCACAGAAGGCATTTGGGGATTGCTGAACAGGTGTGTCAGCTTTATAAAATATTTTGGGTTTCATCCCGTATGTAATATTGTGCTGTCAATACAGAAACACAAACGCAGCAAATTGCAATTCGATTGAACGGATGACGTAAGTCTTTGTTCTTTATTTCTTGCCTGTGTCCAGAAATAGCCGAAGCCTAAATTCTGGTAAACACAAATACAATCTTAGAGGGGCACTCAAGCAGTTCTTGGGCAAGCTACTTTTTGGTGCGATGGCGTTAAGGAAGTATCAGTGAACGAGTATCTTCAGTTTTAGAAGTCAGAACCGCCTATTAATCACGCAGGAATAAAATACGTCCGGACTCTTTTCTGTACTTGCGAGGGCCAATGAAATTGTCGTATGTTTGAAAATTTTGGCGGTCTTTGTAAAGTTTCGCCAAAGAAACAATTTTCAGTTCATTTAAATATGTTGTGCATGATAATTTCACCAGACGTAAAATATTTCTAGTTTAGAATACGCGATACTGCAATTATCGTTTCACAAACAAGGGACTACGTTTTCTCCTCGCCTTCCTCCCCGTGGGGTGAATTTCCCGTTCCCTCGGGATGCGCGAAAGCGCGCGTATCATGAACTCTTTCCCTCCGGGTTTTCGGGAAGTGCGTTCGTGTCTGCCCGTCCTCCCGAGGCGAAATTCGACGTCGCGACATCGTTTGACATCACGTACCAGAGGTTACGCTGCGATGCCAAACGTTTGTTTGGTTACGACTTGCCCCAACCGCAAATCGAAGGCCTGCGTTTCGTCGTCCTGCCGAAAGATGAACCTCGGAGAAGCACGTGGTTACGTCGCGCCGGCCGCCAAGACGACACACAGAACTTGCATATGACGCCCCGTTTTTGTCACGACCACTTCGACCAAAGTGAGTTCTTCTGCGTGGAGGACACGGGTCGTTCACAGCTTCGATGGAACGCGATGCCGACGCTTCTGCTTCCAGTCGAGGACGTGATCGACGCATCTCCGCTGAAGCGCCAGAAAGTCGTGGTAAGTTAGTTTTCTTTTTTTCGCGGCATAGGTTTTGTGGGGAGTTCCGAAAATCTTAGAAGCCACGTGTTCGGAACAAGTTGCAAGACGAATTGCGCGTGCACGCGAAGCTTATGAGCAGGAGCTGTCCACGTAAAGGGATTTATTTTGACAGTGACCGAACACGGACGTACCGATACCCACGAAAAGTGCAATCGATACGCAATGTATAATAGTAGATAATCCCAGTGCCAGTAGTGTCGTCAAGATCAGTTATCTCCTGTTTTAGGGAGGGTTAATCTCAATATTTCGTACCCCGGAAGGTCGCAGCGTAATTTTGTTTTCACAAGCAACAGTAATGTCGTTACTGTGCACACTGATCCGTCGGCACCAGATGAAATAGAACAGCAGCGCGTGAGCGTCTTTTCACGGTAGTCTTTGGCGAAATAAGGGTGGGTGGAATATATACGGAGTGCAAGTGCGTCTACTGTTCGCGTATCTCATGCGTTCGTTTACAACAGACATGTGCCCACGTGCTCTTGTTTGCCATCTGAGATCAACCAGTGGCAGCGCGTACCTGGCTGCTTTGTAGACGTGCGTTTCTTGCGTATTCTCTAAATTGCGCGTTGATTGGCACTTTGTTTATGCGTATTTATGTTTTCCCGGAAGCTCGTACAAACTCTCCTACGCGAAAGGCGCATTTTAGTTCACTTGCACGCCGTATTATGCGCTGCTTAGTTTCTATTCTTTTGGTCCCGATAGTACATGGTGCGCGTAGAAGGTTAGAAGGAAATGATTGGGTTACAAAATTGTGGGAAATGCAAGACTATTTTCAATTCAGAAAATTGCCCTCCCCCCCCCCCCCCCTTGCTTTTACTGCTTGCAAAGCTTGTACTATTGCAAACTGTTACGAGTAATGAAAATCATGTATGCAGAACATATCCCAAGAACTAGGCAGATGATGCATAATACCACTGTGTCTCCATGCGATTCAATAAATAGATACTTATCTTTCTTTAAACAACTATTCCGCAGGGCAACGACACAGGTGCCACCCGTGGGGTACTAGTACCTTCTAGTAGTCCTGAGCATCAGGACAATGGTGCTGTGGAGCCTGCCACAGCAGGTCAGGGTGCTCGTAAGTACTTTCGGAAATCAGCGTGCATATAGAGGTTACAAGTCTGTAATTTCTAATTGTAGCAGCGACAAACACCCTTGCTGTGGTAGCCGCTGCACCACCAGTAGCTTCACCACCAGCAGCTGTACCACCAGCGACAGCCATTGCCATGGAGGAGGCAGTTACACCACCAGTAGCTGCACTACCAGCAGCTGCACCACCAGCGACAGCCATTGCTGTGGAGGAGGCGGCTTCATCAAGTCCGCTAAGCCCTGGAGCCACCAGCATCTCATCGGGGTCCGATCTGACGTACTCCCCAACTCGTGACGAAGATTTTGAGAGCTAAGCTGTTCTTGTTTACATTCCGTTTCGTTTCTAAATATTTTCTTGATTCTGCTGCAGCGATAAATACACACCAGGCCCACCAGAGGGTGAGCGACAGTTCCTCGTGTTTGAGAGCTGCCTGAGGGAGCTGTTCAGCACCTGCCAGGAGTGTTCAAGGCCCTGCAACACCACAATCACCCCCCTGGGCACACTGATCAAGGTGAAAAGCATCTGCCCCCTGAATCACGAGCGGATATGGGACAGTCAGCCTCTCATAAACGGGAGGGCAGCTGGAAACATCCTGCTGTCCAGCCACCTGTTGTTCTCTGGATCAAATGTCACAAGCACCTTGAGGATGCTGCGCCACATGAACGTGGAGGTCTTCAGCGATCAGACCTTCTACACGTATCAGAAGAGCCTCCAGTTCCCTGCAATCGACGAAGTGAGCAATATTTCAAAGGGTTGCTTTCTGTTTTTTTTTAGTGGTGCTTAAATAGGTAGATCTAAAGGCAGAGAAGGGTGAAATCTTAGTTGAAAAATGACTAATGCACTTTAGTTTTGTAAAAAAATACTGCAACATAGCCAGGGTTATGATTACTAAATATTTATTTACTTGTGTATTTAGGAGGTACTGATATTACAAATAAGCAAGTTTTGTTTTATTGTGCACACATAACCGTAACTTTGTAAGGTAACTTTGAAGGTTCACCTGGTTTGAACAGCAACAATCATTTACATAAACAGGTCTACCTGCAAGAACAACAGGATCTGGTCAGACAGCTGGAGGACCAGGATGTTGACATCACCAGCGATGGCAGATTAGACTCTCCTGGGTTCTCTGCCAAGTTCCTGACCTACACTGCACATGTTCAGCAGATCAACAGGATCCTCCACTCGATCCAAGTCCAGCTAAGGGAGGTAAGAAACCCGATCTGAGCGAAAATATAAACACTGCTTTGCTGGTCGCATAACTCGATTAAAAGATTGCCGCGCGCGCTGCCTACTTGGCCAGCGCGCGCGGCAATCGTCGCTCACCAGTCACCTATCTGTGTTTGGAGATTTATGTTTGTAGTTTGTCCCTCTTGTTCCCCTTCTCCAGGATTACTTTCGTCAGTAAGTGTGGCTGCTGCACGATGCTAGCAGTCCTGTAACCACGCAACCTTTTCTCTACAGAAATGCCCCGGGCAGTACAAAGTCCACTCATTCGTCCCGCAGTCTCGTCATGAAAGCCAGCAGTAAGTGTGGCCGCTGCACGATGCTAGCAGTCCTGTAACCACGCAACCTTTTCTCTACAGAAATGCCCCGGGCAGTACAAAGTCAGTCCACTCATTCGTCCCGCAGTCTCGTCTTGAAAGTCAGCAGTAAGTGTGGCTGCTGCACGATGCTAGCAGTCCTGTAACCACGCAACCTTTTCTCTACAGAAATGCCGCGGGCAGTACAAAGTCCACTGATTCGTCCCGCAGTCTCGTCATGAAAGCCAGCAGTAAGTGTGGCCGCTGCGCGATGCTAGCAGTCCTGTAACCACGCAACCTCTTCTCTACAGAAATTCCCCGGGCAGTACAAAGTCCACTCATTCGTCCCGCAGTCTTGTCTTGAAAGCCAGCAGTAAGTGTGGCCGCTGCACGATGCTAGCAGTCCTGTAACCACGCAACCTTTTCTCTACAGAAATGCCCCGGGCAGTACAAAGTCCACTCATTCGTCCCGCAGTCTTGTCTTGAAAGCCAGCAGTAAGTGTGGCCGCTGCACGATGCTAGCAGTAAGTTTGGCTGCAGCAAAGGCTGAACCAGCTTATAAAGAAGCAAGTTTGTTTTGCAACACTTACACCAGGTGAGCACTACCAGGAAAGAATGGCCAATCCTGAAACCACAGACCTGCAGTAAGGATATGTGTTGCTTTGCAATCATTTTTAAGTAGAATTGAGACCTATTCCAACAGTTCTGTTTGGATTTCAGGACTATGAGATGTAAGCTTTGACGACTGATATTACCTGCCAGTGTGGATGTTAGAGGACACGGAACACCAGCGAGCAAAGCAAAATATATCAGGAGGCCTCCATTTTTCAATATTTGTTAGCAAGGAGTGAGGCGTAACATTTATTTGAGAAAGTCTGGTCAGTATAAATGTCTTCGGTGCAGCTACATTAGTGAAGTAAAGATAATCAGGACCCTATACTTACCAGTGGGCTACCATCTCACGCACTGTTCATAATGTGACCTCGACCGGAGTGTGACATTGACAACCAAGTAGAAGGACAGGGTCTGTCATTGCATGCCAGGAATTTTCAACATCGTCAAAGGAAAAATAGTCGGTTTACTGAAAGTGTAATGTATATTTAGTTGAAGCATACTAATGAACGTGTTCATGGTACTTTTTTTTTATAATTGAAGCATCTAACACCCTGGCTTTGATTTTCCATTTCATGTGCTGGCAAGCTGACAGGTTGAAGAGGAGTTACCACGATTACAACACTGCTCGCCTGCGACTTTTTTAATAAATGGGGTTTTCAGCCAGGAGGTAGACTGGCAATGCTGAGTAAAGTTGTGCATAACTCGGATCACTCAGAGTTATTTTTAGTGGTATCCAAGCAGTACTGCCAGTCTACACCACGGTTTTCCCCCATCTGAATCATTCTCTTGTTTCACCTTTGTGCGATATCTCTCCTGTGTAGACCGGGAGGTGCACTGCACTCCAGATAGTTATAAATAAATGTTTGGAATAACTTGTTTCTGTTTCAAATGACTCATCAAGAGAAGGTGGAAGCAGATAGAATGTAACCTAAAAATTACCTGTAGGATCCGGTGCAGCAGGCATAAAAAATGGATAGAGGGCATTTTCTGCCGAAAAAGGAATAGTGAAATAAAATTAAAAAAATTGCTTCATGATTGTGCCCTGCAAATAAGCAAGTAGGTCTCGATGTACAGGGTTGTCCACTGTTGGGGTGCACATGGCATTGCGTGGCTGACACTCGGTGGAGCGCCGATCAATAACGGATCAATAACGTTCGGATAATTCAGAGAGGGACTTCAATGAAGCTAAGGGAAATTAGCTTTTTTGTTGTTTTTTATCTAGTGTTCGAAGTCTCGACGCACCATTTCGTCTGGAAGCTGCACCTGCCGGAGTGGGATCAAGGGGCAATGATCAAGGGGCACATTCCGCCGTGATCAGCTTTTTTAAAGACACAATTGCAAGCCCGTCGCTGCTACCGAGGAGAAAATGGCTATATCAAAACTTCAAAGGCATCCCACGGGGGTGTCGAGTGGCGCAGCAGTCAGAGGCGAAACTTGAGCGCACTACTCCAATGGGTGTGAACACTGCGTTCAGTAGTGTACCCTGAACGTAGCGTTTATGCATGTTGTGCCAACGTTTGTTGCAAAAGTTACGCCCGTTAGGTCCATAGTGTGAACGTAATATTAGTGATGGGACGAATCACCGGAGATTTGGATTCGGACAGATTCAGAGATTCATCAGACTCGTCGCTGGTTGCAGACGGCAGTGTGAAAATAATCGTAAACTCCGCGAATGTGGTCAGTTGTGCTTTTCTTAGGTACTGTTACTGCATATAACCAGATTTAGTCTTGCTTATTTCAACATATGGTATGTACTAAACTGTCGTTCTAAACCCTGGCAGGCGCCAAGGTCCAGCTGAGCTGATCGGTGTAGTTGACGTGGGCCTAACCAATGCAGGGTTTCGCTTCCTGTGCGGTTTCGCGGTGATCGGTAAAATGTAGCGAAACGCTCTGTAGTATACATAATGTGACGCAACGCACAATAAATATATATTCAGGCAAGGAAATGATTTGTCCCCTTCTCTAGAGCTGCATATGTCTGCACCTGTAAGGCGCGAAAACTGGATGAATGTTGCTCGTCACGACTTCGGCCGCGTACCGGCACCGGTGGCGAAGAAAAACGTTGCACTGTCGTTTCTCCGTTCTCGGCAGCAAGATTTTTTATACGTGAACTTTATTTGACGAAAAAGAAACACAACACAGGGGTGTCCAACACAACTTCATTGTTCGCAACCAAACACTAACTAAATCGGATTGCATTAGCCAGGAGTTTCACATTGTTTCCCGTGTTTCGATAGCAATAGGTGGTATTCACTGAGCCTGCAGGTTCAATTTTCCCAGGGAGCGCCACCGTCGATTCGCCATCTTCGAGATCGTGGTTTGACTGGCTTGGCTACGCGGTCGTACAATTTCATATCGTTGAAGAAGCTTCGTTGAACAAGAAAGGAAAAGGTTTATCTCGGGGGCGGGCCGTTTTAGTTTCCTTGTTGCCGCCGAGTACTGCGTGTGTAAAGGCTGCACCGGATGTAAGCGAGCGACGAGACGAGACGAGCGACAGCCACGACAGAAGCGACGACGACCCGCTTCGCTGTCGCTCGGTCACTTGCGTGACGAGACAAGCCGCGTGAAAACAACGGGAGCAAGCGACCAAGGCGATCAACGACGTTTTCTAGAAATCCAAAAACCGAGCGACGACCGACCGTGAGAAATCTCCGTCGCTCGTCGCCGACTCCCGTCGCTGTAGCCGCTCGCTAAATCGCTTACATGCGGTTCACGCGTCACTGTCGCTCGTCGCGTAGCTCGGTTTTGGGATTTTTAGAAAACTTAGCGCTCATCGCCTTGGTCGTTTGCTCCCGTCGCTTTCATGCGGTTTGCCTCGCGGCAGCGAAGCGGGTCGCCGTCGCTTATCTCGCCGCTCGCCAAATCGCTTACATGCGGTTTTTAAATCGCTTGGGCTAATGAAAAATGCGCCGCATTTTTCATAAACTGCGCACTCTGTGAGCCGCACGGTATGTTTCTGCACAGGAACGAACACCGAAGGCAGGACGTATGTATGACACAGAGGTGATGGAGCAACGCGGTTACACGGCCGTAGTGCAGCAAATCCGCTAGAGAAAATCAATAAAGAAACTAGCAAAACAAAACAGAGTAATCACACCGTGCTAGAAAAGCACCAAAGTAGAAAAATCAGTTCTTGCAAGAGCTACCGCCGTGGGCACCGCGCGCGACACGGAGCGCTTCACGGAGCCGAGGGAGCAACGCGGCCGCGGTGAACGAGTCCGATAGCGACAAAAACGAACTAAAACTCACAAAAAAATACTCCTACGGCGCTTCAAAAGCACCAAAGTATAAGAATAACCTCTAGTTTCGGTTAAAAAGGCACTTTAAAGTTGTAAAATGCTGCTAAACCACGCTCAAAAGGTCCGGCCATACGACAACCGCGATAGAAAGAGACCTCGAAGATGGCGACCGTGGTGGGCGATGCCAGCGAACCTAGCGAGTGACGTCAAGTAAATGTCACCTATACCTCAGTGGAAACTCGGAGATAATCGAATCGAACATACTCACTTGTGTGGTTGCGTGCCACTATGACAGTAATTATGGGCACGAAATGTGTCTGTACTGAAGAGCACGTACGGCATCGATCTCTTACAGCGATGAAAAAATGCGCTTGCATTTCTATGTGTGTGCACCAAGCATGCCTATTGGGTCGTAATTTGGAACCGAAACCAATTTTCCCGTGATGTCTGGCTACCGTTCTCGACAAACATCCGAAATAGTTTAAACAAAGCGGAACATTTTATTTATTACTGTGATATTATATTACAATATATTTAGTGCACTTTGTACAATTTAGTGAGTATAATATCACGAAAAGTTGAAACACTCATCAACGTGATTTGGCAACCATGGCAACGCTCCGAATGTTTCCCAACTTTTCCAAATCGCTTGGGATTCGGCTACTTTTCCGGATCTTTCCGAACCTTCAGATTCGGATAAAGATGCGTCCCATCACTAGTGATAAGCTTAACTGGAGCTAACCAGATCTCACGAACTTGTTGTGAAGCAAGAAATACTGATGCAGCAATCGAGGTTTTGAACATTTTACTTTATGATGACCCACAACTTCAC